CAAGACGGCCCAAGAGCGCTCCAAGAGAGCCCAAGACCGCCCAAGGCGGCCCCAAGACGTCCCAAGAGGCTTCCACGACGCCCCAGGAGGCGCCCACGAGGCGTCCCAAGAAGGCCCCAGGAGGCCAACATCATTGATTTTCGTAAGAAAGACGTGCATGTTTAGCATGTACGGCTTTTCGCCTTTCATGGCGTTGAAGACGGTCCAAGAGGCCCCCAACACCGCCCCGAGACGGCCCAAGATGCCCCCAAGAGGCCCCCAAAATAGCCCAAGAGGGCGCCAAGACGGGCCAAGAGGCGTCCAAGACTGCCCAAGAGGCCCCCAAGAGCGCCCAAAGAAGGCCCAAGAGGCCCCAAAAAAGACCCTAAAACGGCCCAAGAGGGCGCCAAGACGGCCCAAGAGGCGCCAAGACGGCCCAAGACGGCGCCAGGACGGCCCCAAGAAGGCCCCAAGAGGCCCCCAAGAGGCCCCCAAGAGAGCCCAAAGACGGCCAAAGGCAGCCTAGTCCCTTCGCCGTCTTAGGCGCCTAAGACAGCCCAAGAAACGGCCAAGACGGCGCCCAAGACGGCCCAAGACTGCCCAAGAAGCGCCCAAGACGGCCCAAGAGCGCTCCAAGAGAGCCCAAGACCGCCCAAGGCGGCCCCAAAACGTCCCAAGAGGCCTCCACGACGCCCCAGGAGGTGCCCACGAGGCGTCCCAAGAGGGCCCCAAGGGGCCCAAATCATTGATTATCTTAAGGAAGACGTGCATTTTTAGCATATACGGCTGTTCGCCTTTTCATGGCGTTGAAGACGGTCCAAGATGCCCCCAAGACCGCCCCAAGATGTTCCCAAGAGGCCCCCAACATCGCCCAAGAGGGCCCTCCCGCTTCGTTTTTTATCGAGTAGGACTGCCTTCGGGGCTTAGAACACAGCGTTTCGCCTGAGACATCATCGGGTAACGCTTCTTGGGCGCTTCTTGGGCCGTCTTAGGCGCCTAAGACAGCCCAAGAAGCGGCCAAGACGGCGCCCAAGACGGCCCAAGAAGCGCCCAAGACGGCCCAAGAGCGCTCCAAGAGAGCCCAAGACCGCCCAAGGCGGCCCCAAGACGTCCCAAGAGGCCTCCACGACGCCCCGGGAGGCGCCCACGAGGCGTCCAAAGAGGGCCCCAAGAGGCCCAAATCATTGATTCTCTTAAGGAAGACGTGCATTTTTAGCATATACAGCTTTTCGCCTTTCATGGCGTTGAAGACGGTCCGAGGCCCCCAAGACCGCCCCAAGACGGCCCAAGATGTTTCCAAGAGGCCCCCACAATAACCCAAGAGGGCGCCAAGACGGGCCAAGAGGCGCCCAAGACTGCCCAAGAGGCCCCTAAGAGCGCCCCAAGAAAGCCCAAGAGGGCCCCAAATCGGCCCAAGAGGGCGCCAAGACGGCCCAAGAGGCGCCAAGACGGCCCAAGACGGCCCCAGGACGGCCCCGAGAAGGCCCCAAGAGGCACCCCAAAGAGCCCAAAGACGGCCAAAGGCAGCCTGGTCCCTTCACCCCCGCCACCCAGAAGCTCCCAGGAGGCCCCAAGAGGCCCCCGAGAAGCCCCAAAAGGTCTTCAAGAGGCACAAAAGAGGTTCCCCAAGAGCCCCCCAAGAGACCCCACATACTCCCAAAGGCTCTTAGCACCGCGGCTCCCAAGAGCGAGCGGTGACGTAATCGAGCTGATAAGACCAAAGCTCCCAAAAGAGAGCTGCGGCGTAATAAGTTCTTGACGCCAGGGCACAGGGACGGGCGGCAACGCGTGGACAACGAGCGGTCCACGCAAGGACAACGCGGGGTTCTGGAAAGCTGGCAGCCCAAACGCGGAAAACACAACGCGACCCGACCGCCCCCTCCAAAACAAGAAACGCGCTCAAAGAAAGCCCCGCGACTCTCCGAGGCTGAGATAGGACAAGAGCGAGGGGAAGGGAGTCAATCAGAGGTGTAAGAGCGGACGAGCCAGCGATCTCGTGCGCTCTGAAAGTAAGTGCGCTTTCCGCCCCCGTGCCAAGCAGGTCCAATGGCCAAGTGTTCGGCCACGTTGCTGCGACAGCCGCGTCCAGGTTTAAATTTTCATTTGCAAGCGTTCCGCAATACATCCTAGGTTTCCAAACCGAGATATCCCATGTGGACCCAGACATGATGTTTGTGCTGACGCGTGAAACCTGCCAGCTCCATTGACAGGTTGTGCTGCCCACCTATGTAAATCAAACAGCTGCCGAGCGGTGGCCGGGGGCGGCTGTTTGGGGGCAGCCTTCAGGATGCCCATATCCATATGTTTGCGCAGTGAACTCACAGCATCCAGCAGATGACGTCCGCTGCGCATGGCCGCGACGAACTCTCCACGCACCTGCTCGGCCCATGGCAACCATTTGCTGGCCTCGGATCCCGCAATTTTCATGATGGGGTATTCCCCCGCTCCAATCGTCGGCTTTTCGAACCGCTTGACCATGCAGTCCTGGCCTGCAATGTTTGCGTCGCGCCAGTGCTCTAGATCGCTGCGCGGGCGGCCGGGCCCATCCGCGCAGACCTAAGTCGAACGGCCCACGGACGTTCTAGGGGCTGGCGCGAAGAATGGCCCAGAAGATCGCGCTGACGCGGCCCCCACGGATTCCTAGGTACAGCGCGTGTAAAACATCGAGCACGGACGTCATGGACGGCCAAACGTCAGCCGAATCCGAGAGTGGCGGGTTCCCGTGGTTGACAGCGCCCGCGGTTGCCTGGCCGCGTACGTGCGACCTCCAAAGTGCGGCCACGAAGGGCGCCTGGGTGGCCGAGAAGTCCCCTGCGTCGGCGAGCTGGGGCGACGGCGCCATCGGCCCCCAGCTGCAAGGCCGAGCTCGGGAACTCCGTGGCCCGAGGTCCGACTGCGCACCCGACCCAACCGATGACCCCAGAAGAGCATGCCATTGCGGAGGACCTTCAAGAGAGAAAAGATGGGGGTGAAAGGGGGAGCGATAGGGGGAGCAAGATGCCGAGGAGGAGGTGGGGGTCGAGCAAGAGGGGGCGAGCAAGAGGAAGAGGGGGGGAGACAGTGTGGGAGGGGGCCGACCTTGACCCGAACTGTTTCGCCCCAGATCAGCACCTGGACCTCGTGCCGCTGACAATGCAGTTCGCAATCTGTTCCATCGCCTACTTCTCCCCGGAGATCGTTGAGCTAATCAATTGTGTGATGATCGTGCATGTTGTCTACGAATGCTGCGCAAAAGAACCGCAGGCGTCATCCGCCCCCTAGGCCTCGCGGGCCAAACGTGACGGCTCGTTCGATTCAGTCACCCCTGATCCAAACGAGCTGCCCCCGGCGCAGCGGCGCGCCCGCGCGCGCGAGACGGGGGCCCATGGGTGGCCACTCCGAATCATCGTGCCTGAGGCGTGGCTTAAATTCAATTGCAACGCTTCCAAACCCCAGCTCGTAGCTAGCATGCTTGGGTATATACTGCACCGGCCGCGGCGCCCTCACCTACAACGCTCGCTCTTCTTTGGCGGGGCAGTCGGATGGCGCCTCTGCGTCTTGATTGTATATACGAAGAAAGAACCCAACAACGAATCATATGTTCCAACATTCTCCGAACGGGCGAACCGAATCCCGCCCGCGTGGAGGCGCGGCAACAGCGGGGCGGGCGACCGACCCAACCTGCGCGGGCCAGGGAGAAACGAGTAGCCATCATACCACTCCTGCGCATCAGGGTCCGCATCGCATCGCACCTTGCGATAACGCCGGCGCGCGCTCTGCCTCTTCCTGGGCCGCTTCGCAGCGCAGGCGACGCGGGGGTCAGCTCGAGCTCTCGCCCCGACCCTGCGCCGCTGGCGGCGCGTCCGTCCAGTGGTGCCCAGATAGTGGCTTGCGGGGTAATATGGTGTCCAACTGTTTCTGGAAGTTGCCGCTCTTGTTGCAATCAAGGCTAAAGCCGCGCATAGCAGCGCCCGCCCCCCCCCCCTCCCCCCCTTACGGTTTTATCTCGGTGCCCTGGAACAATGCTCGCGGAAGGGGTTTTAAGGATTCCGAGATAAGTTTGTGCGGATTGCAAGTTGATTCCTTTTTCGGCGGATTGCACATTGATTCTTTTTGTGGCGGATTACGAATTGATCCCCAGTGTGGCGGATTACACATTGGTTCTTTGTCTCGCGGATTACCAAAGGATTCTCTGCGTGGTGGATCTACACATTGATCCTTATTGTGACGCCTTCAAATAGAATTCCTTTCCGTCGGCTCAGAGGAACGGGGAGTGGGGCCCTGGCCGACGGAAAAGACAAAAAACGACGAACAAGCCAACCAGGGGGGACCAACAACGCCGTGCTTCTAAGTGTAAAGTTGTTTTTAATTGACGACAAAAACCACAAGCACACCCCGCACATGTTTCGTGGCCCCCTAGGGGGCTCCATCGAAGGCCCCAGTGGGTGCGTTCGCATGCGCCCGCCGCACCCATGCCAGCACACCCATCACGCGCTTCGTGGCCCCAAAAGGGGGCTCGGCAGCGTTCGCATGCGCCCTGCACCCATGCCAGCACACCCCTCACACGCTTCGTGGCCCCCTGGGGAGCTCCATCGAAGGCCCCAGCGGCTGCGTCCGCATGGGCCCGCCGCCCTCCCATGCGAGCACACCCCTCGCACTTTTCGCGACCCCTAAGGAGCTCCACCGAAGGCCCCAGCGGCTGCGTTTGCATGCGCCCGCCGCGCCCATGCCATCACAGCTTTCACACGGTTCGTGGCCCCCTAAGGAGCTTCACCAGATGGGTCGGTTGTTGCCTTCGCATTCGCACGCCGCACTAATTTCGGTACGTGTCTCACACGTTTCGTGGGCAAATAGGGAGCTCACCGAAAACGACACTCATACCGGCAGCATTCACACTTGCATATGGTTGGGGATTTCGCCAGGCTAATTGTTGTGGCAAGGGTGATGGTTATGGTGATGTCGGTGATGAAGATGCTTGCGGTGGTGGTGGTGATTATGATGATGGAGATGATTGGGTGATGTCGGGTGGACCCTGGGAAGTTTTAGGGCCGCGGGCGTCTTGGGAATTTCAAAGGGCTTCTATTGTAGACAACATGCCCTTCTCTGTACCTCGTGCTAGCGCGTGTGCCCGTCGTGTTCTCAATTTCAGCGTTGCACCGCTTCTCCAGCTTCTGCTTCTGCGAAGGCACAATGGAGAGCCGGATGGGGACCTTGCAGCAAAGCATGGACTTCCTGAAGGAGAGGGAGGGCACGATGGAGAGCCGGATGGAGTCTTTGCATGAAGACATTGTCTTCCTGAAGGAGAGGGAGACGAGTGAGGAGTTGGGGAGGGAGGGGGGAGGAAGAGGGAGGGACGGAGGTAGGAGGAGGCGGAAAGCAATTTTATGGGTTTGGGGCGGGCACGGTTTCTAGGGGAAACAGGGGGAGAGGTGGAACAGGAAGACGAGAGGGCACGAACAAGGAGGAGTAGCAAAGAATCGGGGAAGGACTATGGGGAAGAAGGAGGAGGAAGAACAACGAATGCGGATGAGGAGGAAAAGCAAGGGCATCATGCGGGCTAGCGGGAAGGAGAGGGGGTGACGAGGATGATGAATGAGGAGGTTGAGAAAGAGGTTGAGGATAAGGATATGGGAAATAGACCATAGGAGGGGAGCATCCGAAGAACAAAAAAACGGAAAAGAGGAGGTCTGAGGATTATGATAGGAATAACCTCAACATCTACAGTGTATGTTTCAATGCCCGTCAACCATATCGCCCCAGACACTTTGAAGATTTGTGTAAGTTTAGTTTGAATTGTTATTCGGGTTCATTTCTCCCGCTTCCTCCATTTCCCTCCCCCTTCTTCGCCCTGTGGTGCAAGAGCGCCCCCCCCTCGAGAATACCAATGGATTCAGAATTCAGTGCGAGACACATCGGTGATCCGCAAGGGCTTCGCCCCTTGCCGCCGGCCCTCTCTCTCGGAGAATGCGCTACGCAAGAGCTATGTCATGAGGCCTGCGCGCTGTCGTGAAGCAGTATCGGAACTTCATTCGAGGCCGACTCGCAATTAGCAAAACAAATTGATCACCAGAGGGGTTACCACACTTGGCGATTGGTAAGACGTCGTGGCCCTACGGATCTGCGTGAGGGGTGCAGCTGAATTTCAGAAATTGGCAAATCCCCCATGTTTTTGGACCCTGACCCTGCCGATCTGCGTGAAGGGTGCCGCCGTATTTCAGAAATGTAGCAAATCCCATATGTTTTTGGACCCTGACCCTGTCGATCTGCGTGAAGGGTGCCGCCGTATTTCAGAAATGTAGCAAATCCCATATGTGTTTGCACCCTGACCTCGCCGATCTGCGTAAGGGGTGCCGCCAGATGTCAGAAATTTTGCGAATCCAATGTGTTTTTGCACCCTGACCCCGCCGATCTGCGTGAGGGGTGCCGCAGAATTTTTGAAATGTGCCAAATCTTATTTGTTTTTGGACCCTGACCCCGCCGATCTGCGTGAGGGGTGCCACCGAATTTCAGACATGTGGCAAGTCTCATATGTTTTTGCACCCTGACCCCGCCGATTTGCGTGAGGGGTGCCACCGAATGTCAGAAATGCTGCAAATCCAATGTGTTTTTTGACCCTGACCCCGCCGATCTGCGTGAGGGGTGCCGCAGAATTTTAGAAATTTGGCAAATCTTATTTGTTTTGGACCCTGACCCCGCCGATTTGCGTGAGGGGTGCCACCGAATTTCAGACACGTGGCAAGTCTCATATGTTTTTGCACCCTGACCCCGCCGATTTGCGTGAGGGGTGCCACCGAATGTCAGAAAAGCCAATCCCATGTGTTTTTGGACCCTGAGCCCGCCGATATGGGTGAATATTGTCACTGAATGTCAGAAATATGGCAAATCCCATATGTTTTTTGCACCCTGACCTCCGCCGATCTGTGTGAGGGGTGCCACCGAATGCCAGAAATGTGGCGAATTCCATATCGATCTGCGTGAGGGATGCCACCGAATTTCAGAAATGCGGCAAACCTTTTGTTTTTGTTGGACCGTGACCCCGCCGATCTGCGTGAGGGGTGCCACCGAATTTGAGACATGTGGCACATCCCACTTGTTTTTGCACCCTGACCTCGCCGATCCGTTTGAAGGGTGCCACCGAATATGAGACATGTGGCACATCCCATGTGATTTTGCCCCCTGGCCCCGCCGATCTCCGTGAGGGTGCCACCTAATTTGAAAAATGTTGCAAATCCCATATGTTCTTTGCACCCTGACCCCGCCGATCTACGTGAGGGGTGCCACCGAAAGTTAGAAATGTGGCAAATCCTATTTGTTTTTGGACCCTGACCCCGCCGATATGCGTGAGGGGTGCCACAGAATCTTAGCCATGTCGCAAATCCCATGTGTTCTTGGACCCTGACCCCGCAGATCTGCGTGAGGGGCGCCACCGAATTTCAGAAATGTGGCAAATCCCATATGTTTTTTGCACCCTGACCCCGCCGATCTGCATGAGGGGTGCCACCGAACGTTAGAAATGTGGCAAATCTTATTTTTTTTTAGACCCCGCCGATTTGCGTGAGGGGTGCCACAGAATTTTAGCCATGTCGCAAATCCCATATGTTTTTGGACCCTGACCACGCCGATTTGCGTGAGGGGTGCCACCTAATTTCAGACATGTGGCAAATCCCATCTGTTTTTGGACCCTGACCCCGCCGATTTGCGTTAGGGGTGCCACCGAATTTGAGAAATGTGGCACATCCTATATGTTTTTGGACCCTGACCCCGCCGATCTGCGTGAGGGACGCCACCGAATGTCAGACATGTGGCAAATCCACTGCTTTTTGGGATCCTGACTCCGCCGATCTGCGCGAGGGGTTTAAATTTTTACACAGCCCAGCAATTCAGACAATACGATTTCTCCGTGGTAAAAAAGCCCGTTGTGGGCCTCCCCCCCTCGCGCGGTCCATCAACAAGGAACAGTAAGCAGCAAGAAGTCAACAAGGAACAGTAAGCAAGAATAGCCAGAACTATAACAGTGGAAATTACAAGTTGCAACTGGTACAGGAAACTGCGAAGCTTAGCCCTACAGCCTGGTGGCCCCACAAGGGGGCCGGCGGATTTTTCCTCTCTCACCCCAAGCCTACATGAACTCAGCCCCATCAGCATCAGCAGCTTCGACACCAACCTCGCGACCATCTACGACCCCAGCGCAAACGAGCAGCACAGGATGTGACAGAACTATTTGTGCACATGCCGACGGCGACGCGCCAAGCAGCATCCTGGGCCTCCCGCGCCATCCACACAGACTCCAGCCGACCAGCAACGCCCACCACCACCCGCCAACCAACACCGACCAGCATCACAGCAAACAACACCAACCCCAACTGACCAGCAGCGCCCACCGTCACCCACCACCGACCAGCGACAACCAACAACACCACCGCAAGCAGCACAGACTCCAGCGGACCAGCACCGCCCACCACCACCCACCTACCACCGACTAGCACAACCGCAGGCAGCACCGACCCCAATCGACCAACAACACCCACTTGCGCCTACCGCCGACCAATACCGAGCAGCGACATCACCGCAAGCAGCACCGACTCCAGCTTCCCAGCAGCGCTCACCACCACCCGCCGACCAACACCGACCAACATCACAGCAAGCAGCACTAAACCCCAGATGACCAGCAGCGCCCACTGCCACCCACCACGGACCAATGACAACTATCAACACCACCGCAAGCAGCACAGACCCCAGGTGACCAGCAGCGCCAACCACCACCCACTTACAACCGACCAGCATCACAGCAAGCAGCACCGACCCCACCCGACCAGCTACACCCACCAGCGCGCGACCAGCACCGACCAGCAACACCACCGCAAGCAGCACATACTCCAGCCGACCAGCAGCGCTCACCACCACCCGCCAACCTACCACCGACCAGCATCACAGCAAGCTGCAACGACCTCAACCGACCAGCAACACCACCGCAGGCAGCACAGACTCCAGCCGACCAGCAGCGCTCTCCACCACCCGCCGACCGACACCAACCAGCATCACAGCAAGCAGCAAAAGCCCCAGCCGACCAGCAGCGCCCACCGCCACCCACCACCGACCAGCGACAACCAACAACACCACCGCAAGCAGCACGGACCAAAGCCGACAAGCAGCGCCCACCTCCAACCAGCGACCAACATCGACCAGCGTCACAGCAAGCATCCCATACCCCACCCGACCAACACCCACCAGCGCCCACCGCCGACCACCACCGACCAGCAACTCTACCGCAAGCAGCACAGACTCCAGCCACCCAGCAGCGCCCACCAACACCCAGCAACGACCTCCACCGGCCAGCATCACAGCAAGCAGGACCGACCTCGACCGACAGATTACAGGCACCAACTCCCACTACTGGCCGCCACCGGCCAGCAACAAAACAAGCAGCACCGAACCCAACCGACCAGCAGCACCCTCCATTTTTCACTGCTGACCACCGCGAGCCACAACCACCACAAACAGCACCGACCCCAACAGACAACGCCCATCACTACCCACCACCGGCCACAGACCAACAGCTTCGAGCCCCCCTCTCCCGTCCCCCTTTTCCTCCCTCCCCCTTCTCCTCCCTCCCACCCCTCCCCTCCCTCTCCCCCCTTCCCTCCCTCTCCCCTCCCACTTCGAGCAAACCCTGTCCGACGCATCAAGAGGCAAGTGCGAGGAATCGGCATCATGGATTTTGCAGTCATGCACGAACGTGCGAAGTCTTTGGAGACGAACGACCAGATTCTTCACGCTTCGCGTATCCCCACCAGCCCATCTCAAAACAGCAACTCTAGCGAAGCATGCCGACAGTCGTGTTTTTCAGGCGTGTTTCCGCCTGCCCCCGCATATCTCCCCTGTTCCTCCTTCCTCCCGCCTCCTTGTACATCCTCCTTGTGGTGGGAGCGGGAGAAGGACGAGGCGGAGGAGGAGGGAGAGAAAGCGCTCCTCGTGGTTTGAGTCGTTCGGGCTTCTCGTCCTGGTGTGAGTCGTTCGGGCCCTTCTTCCTGTGTGAGTCGTTCGGGCTCTTCGTGGTGTGAGTCGTTCGGGCTCTTCGTCCTGGTGTGAGTCGTTCGGGCTTTCGTGGTGTGAGTTGTTCGGGCCCCTCGTCCTGGTGTGAGTCGTTCGGGCCCCTCCCCCTGCCCGTCCAGAAACGACGCCCAGGCGAGTAGAGGGTCGTCCTGATGGGCTTTTCGGCGTCTTGGGTGCCTTGGGGGGACCTCTTTGGGCCGTTTGGGATCCTCTTGGGGGCCTCCTGGGGGCCTCTTGGGGCC